TGTCTATTCCAAAGCAAAGAATAGCCATTTAGATGAGAATTGCTCCATTAGCCAAATTCAACTTTCATATAATTGCATTCCAATCTATGTAAGGCGGATACAAAGCAATGTTGAGTTGCTGGCCATCACAAGCAGGGGCAAAAAAGTTGCACAACATTAATAGACCAACATCTAAAAAGAATGGGCTTTTGTGAAGCATCAGAAAAATACTGAAGATTGCTGGAAATTTGAAACAAAACATAGCATGCTGGAGAAACTCAGCAGGTCTGGCAGCTAAAGAAATCAGATCTGGCAAAATCATTCTGGACTCAAAAACATGAACTGTTTCTCTCTTCACAGATATTGTCTGACCTGCTGAGTTTCTCTAGGATTCTCTGCGCTTGTTTCTGAACTTTAGGAGTTGGATGAAAAGCATATCTTTCTCAGAGGACAGATGCTGCCTGACCAACTGAATCTTTTGTTTATTCAGCAGTATTTTGCAAAATTAAACTTGGAAATACATGCTCCTTTGATATTTACCACCACTTGCCCCAAGGCCTAGAGGATTACAGAGGTCAAGTAATACCACCAGTTTATATTCCAATCAGCCAGTACTGGGTGCTTCTGCCAGTGGAAAGAAAGGATAGAGGCTGATGATATATGCTTCACCATAAAAAAGTTGTTTCTCAATGGGCGCGAGTGGCAGTTAGCATAAAATAAAATATATTCTATATCCTGCCACAATATTCAGCTTTTCACTTCTTAAATGTGGAGATCATTTTCTCTACTGGATCAGTAAGTAAAATAGCAACTCTGAAGATTCAACCAAGATTATCAATGGCAAGACAGAAAAACCCGAGTAAACAAAGAGCTGGGGTACAGTTTCGTATACACGTGCACTGACATCACTACTTTCCCTGCTTTTGAACTTTGAGTAGTAATTGTTTCAACCACAGAAGGAATCATAACAGAGCTCAATCTTGGAGGTTTTAAAAATGATGGAAGGGAATGGACTCAGATCTATTTATGACTTCAAGGATACACCAGAGTTCAGGCAAAAAGACTCCAATAGATGCCTCTTGCACAGACTATTGAATATACCATGGGTTTAGATTTACTGCAATTCTTGCCATAGCTTTGAGTCAAAGAGGCTGTTTGCATTGATAGATGGCAAGTTGCCATTAATTGCAAAAGCAACAGGCTACCACATTTCATGCTCTTGTGGAATTCGCTGCCATTTTGCAGGCAATTACAGAGTTGGGGGGAGTAAATTAGAGGGCCGAGTTGCAGGTCAGATGGATATTTTCCACCCCATCTTTTCATAAGTTCACACAGTTTCCAGAAGTAGGTACTGGATTATCATCCAACACGAACTTCTGCAGCTCAGACTGGAGATGTGGAGACTAGTTGCAGCATGTCAGACTGTATCCATTGTGAAAGCGGTTGCTTCCCAATGCTCAAACCAGGGACTGTGAAATCTGGATGACAGCACGGTTTCTGCATCTCAAATTTCCTGACTAGTAGATGTTTTGGTTTCAGAACATTTGAAAAACAATGCAAATTACAGCCTTCAAATTTTCTGACCGCTTGTTTTGATTATAGTTTATAATATGGCTTGCTTTAGTGGCCTTGATGTGTCTCAAGGTTTCCTACTTGATTCTCCGTACAGCTGAGTCAGGTTGATAACACAGGGATCTGTATTTAGCACCATTTAATTCTGTAGCGAACAGTGTGCTGGAATCTATTAATCTCACTTCAACTCTCCAGGGCACAAAACTAACCAACCAGTAAATCTATTCAGAGCACCAATCTTTTACATTGCAGAATCAAAACTTTCCAGATCCAATCTCTACTGCCTGTGTCCATTTAAACCATGCAAAAAGAACTCCACTTCAACCTACTTCAGTTTTAGTAAAGCACTGGGTTTTACTCAGCACCAAGCTGTACTTAGAGAGTGCACTACATTTAACAAGTGACCTACAGGGCTTAACAGGAAAAGCTGACACACCAAGCCACTTAAGGAGATGCAAGGTCAAGTGACCAAAAGTTTGGTCAAGATGGAGGTTACAGTATTGTGAAAAAAAGTGTCCCCTCCTTGTTCTTCTCTTGTGTGCTAACCACCCTCTTCCAAGATGTTGCTAAAATCACTCTCTATTTCAAATAACAGATACCATGTAATTATACGGGGGCGGGGGGGAGGAGGGGGCAGTGGTGGTAGTGGTAGTGGTAGTGTGATTACATCAGTAACTAGATTGAAGAAGTTGGGACTTCTTTTTGGAGACAAGGCAGTTCTGTGGAGATCTGATAGAGGTTTTCAAAATCATGTGCAGCCTGGGTAAAGAGAATCTACTTCTGCTCATAAGAGAAACTAGAACAATTCGGCATAGATCTAAAGTGATTGAGAGAAAAAAAAACCTTAAACTCAGCAAGTAGTTAGTGTATGGAATGCACTGCCTGGAATTGAGGCAGATTCAACAGACACAGTCAAGGTGGTGTTGGATGAGTATTTGAATAAAAATAGCGAGCAGGGATCTGGGGAAAAGGCAGGAGATGGGCCTTGGTAATAGAATAGAATCAGGCGCAATGGGTTGAATGGTCTTCCTGTGCTGCAACAACACAATGATTATGCAACCATGAAGCTATCAATTTTTGTACAAATCCATCTGGTGCATGAACGTCCTTTAGGGAAGGAAATCTGCTGTCCTTACCTAGTTTGCACAACATAGCAACACAATTGACTTATAACTCTCGCCTGCAATGGCTGAGCAAACTACCCAGTCCATTAGGGATGGACAAATACTGACCTCATTACTGCCATCCACAGACTATAAGAGAACAAGAAGATTGCCCCTCTTCTATGGGAGTCAGAATCTGTGCACCACCGAGCACCTTGCCACAGTAAGAGGGCTGTGACCCCAATCCATTTCCAAAAGGGGAAAGGGAAGGTCAGGTCCCACACGTGTGGGTTGTAAGCTGGCCATCTCTGCACAGATACAGTGCATGGATTTATTTTTGGGAGGGGGGTTTGGGTTGGGGGGAAAAATGGTACAAATGGTACGCACATGAAAATCACAGCATGAGGCTTTTTAAAGCAAAATTTGATGTGGTTTAAAATCTCCTCATACAATAATCTGAGCTTTACAGTCTCACTGTTAAACGTATAATACGTCCCAAGTCTCAACGTATTAAGTAACCCGTTAACATCAACTTTAAGATATACAAATAACTTTCTCTAAAAAGGAATCTCAATCAAAATGTTTGGATCTATGTCAATTAATCGTGTCTGTAGCAACTTTCATTCGCATTTGACCTTTAGAAGCACAGAAAATAATCCAAGGCAGATGATAAAAATAAAAATGGATGAGAGGTTTGATGTTGGGAGACGTGCCAACAACTTGTTAAAAGGCGGTACAGAGGAACAGAAAGAGTTAGGGAGGGGGTAGAGCGAGCGGACTTGTGAAAGATTACAAGGGGCTGTAGTGCAGTACAGGGAAGCAACATGCTGTATGATGTTGGGACCTGGAGGGCAGGGACAGAGCCATCACAGGTCAGTGAACTCACAAGGATAACGATTTCAGGACAAGTTGGATACTACAACAAGAGGGTCAAGCGGATATGTACGGAATTATTTTTCACTCACAAATAATAAATACTTAGCAATCAGATTAAATTTTTTTAAGCTTTGTACAGGAGATTGGCTTTAGGTAATACAATCAGCACAGGCACGATGGGCTGAATAGTCTTCCTGTGCTGCAACAATATAATGACTATGCGACCACGAAGCCATCAATTGTCATAAAAATCCATCTAGTTCACTAATGTCCTTTAGGAAAGGAAATCTGCCATCCTTACCCAGTTTTTAAACTTTGTGCATCACATTTGCAATTGCCAATTGTTTCGACACAGCCGCCCATTTGGACTCGGGATGGTTAATCATTGATATTATAACGGGGAGTATGCCCCAGGATCAGAGAGCTCCAGTCAAAGGGAACAATAGCCCCTGTTCTGGGGGGGGACTAAATCAATGGGACGGTCCAAATCGTTGCAGCAAAAAAAGGTCTTGAACCACATCTGGGAATGAGGGGAGCTTCATCCAAAATGCACTTTTCTCTGGATTTTTGCCCGCAAAACTTTAGAAATGGCCAACCCCTTTAAGAGTTGGCAGTAGTGAATTTCACCCTCACGTGTTTCCTGAATTATCATTAACATCATAGCACAAGTCTAAAACGGGGCTATAAAATGGTTAATGTTGCGAGAATTTGACGTTTTAAAATGTAAAAGAAAAATCTGCGGTAAAATTTAATCATTTTTCTATTTCTTGCAATAGCCTCGCCGGATTCGGAAATAGCCACACCCAAAAAAACTTCAGCCGCAAACAAACACTATTCCAGCATCAGAGCTGCCAATTACCCTACATTGCCGGTTGTAACAATAAAATGTACAGCACGAAATGCAGTTCCCGACAGACCTGCACCGGTAACCGGTAGATAAACGCAACCTGACCTTTTTTAAAACAAAACTTCTTGAACACAATTTAAAATTTCAGTCACAGGCATTTACACATTCATTTTTAAAACCACAAAAACCAAACAGTATTGCCAAACGAATATTCAGTCCTTTACCGACTGCAAATTTCTCGGATTCTCCAGCATCTGCAGTTCCTACTATCTCTGATTCTAGCTTAAATCTAGCCCAGTTTCTTCCCCCTCCCTTTCTAAGAGTAACATACTGCGGATGCTGATGTTCTGAAATTTACATTAAAAAATGCTAGGAAAAAATAACTTAATTGATCAGGTAGCACTGTGCGAGAAAAATAACTAACATCTCAGATTCTTGAGTTCGCAAACTAAAACGTTAAGTCTGCTCCTCATGAATAGGTGCTTAACTTGTTGAGTTCTTTTTTGGATTTGCTACGCGTTTGATATTAAACTACTCCTGCACAACCTGTGCCAAATTAAATTCAACCTGAATTAGAGCTGAGTTTCAATTGCAAGCGTTAGCTAAATGTCGTTACCACTTACTTTACCACAGGAGAAGCAGAAGTTGCTAGGTTCACTGCTAACCAGAAAGTGTGGAGCTTAAGGCTGAAACTCAACTAAAAAAGCTCTCCTTATCACCATGACGTCAGCTCGTCAAGAAAAAGGAAAGCAACACCTAAAATGGGCAATCAGTATTCGGGTAGCGTCCTTATTTGGGGAAAGGCGCAGAGAAACACAATAAGCGAGAGGCAGGTTCATGAAAATTGACACATTCCCCGCATTCCAAACTTCTGGTGATTTCAAAGCCAGAGCCTTTTAGCAGAGCGTCCATTTATGGAGAGCAGACTTATAGATCCTTTCGAAAAAGCTTTGGTGCAGAATTTGTAGAACAAAAACTCCATAGATGCTGTTTGGTTACTTTTTGAAGAATAAATGGATGCTAGATTTATCTAAAATTGCACTGTCGAAAGAAGATGTGTTTCAATGAAAGCTGTACTTCAAAGGAGAGACTTGCTCATGAGCCGAATAACTATGTGGCTCAGTCTCCACAAGCTTCTGTAATAATTAACGAAACCAAATACTGAACATCTCAGTCAATTAGTTAAAAGGTTGATAACAAAGTTTTATCCTTTAGAAATGTTGCTAAAGAATTAATATTCAGAACCCAAGCCTTCCTTACTTTAACATGCTTTGGATGTATTTGCAATGATTTCTTTCCTTTTTACCCTTGCTACACCCTACTTAATTTGGCTGCTCATCTTCATTGTATAGGAAAAGGTGGCCAGATTCTGGTGCTGTAATTCTGTTGGGGATACTGGCACCTGCTGGTCAGGACGCCACATAACAATGCCACTGGATAATATTGACAGCCACTCACCCATCAATAACAACCTGTTCAATCAGGAGGGGTTCATGTAGTGCAATGGTAGTGTCTCTACTTGCTGAACCAGGAGACTTGGTCCTGACCCAAAACGTCAGCTTTCCTGCTCCTCTGATGCTGATTGGCCAGCTGTGTTCATCCAGCTCTGCACTGTGTTATCTCTGATTCCAGCGTCAGCAGTTCTTACAATCTCTGACTTGGCTTCAAGTCCCACATGCTCCAGGAGTACGTAACAACATCTATAAGCAGGTTGATTAGGAAAATATCACCCTATATTTCAATCAGGGGAGTCTGAGTCACTGCGCTAACATGTAAAATGATATCTGGAGCTGCGCATAATAATACGACTGTACGTCCAGCCATATAGCAAAAAGCTGCAACATAAAGGGACTTGTGGATTATTTATGTATATAAAAACAGACTGCTAGTGTAGCAGGTAATCAGGAAGCTAATGGTTGGACCTCATTTCAAGGGGTTTGGCATATAACAGTAGGGAAGTATTACTGCAACTGTACAAGGGGAGAGCACATCTGGAGTATTGTGAGCAGTTTGATCCCCTTATTAAAGAAAATGTCTTATTTCATAGGAAGCAGTTTAATGAGTTAAGGTAAGGCAGGTTGGGTCTCTACTTATTGGAGTTTAAAAGAATGAGAAGTGATCTCATTGAAATATATAAGATTCTTAAGGAGCTTGAGAGAATAGATGCTGAGATCCCCTCATTGCAGAGTCTAGGGCAAAGGGCATAGTCTCAGAACAAAGAGGCACCAATTTAAAACTGAGATGAGGAGGAATTTATTCTGAGGGTTTGGGCTCTTTGTAACTCCTTGTTATAGAGAGCTGGAGGGGCGGAGTCCTTGTGTATATTTGAGGCTGAGGTTAATAGATGCTTGAAGAGTCGGAGAATCAATAGTTTGGGAAAAGGACCAGAAAGTGCACATGAGGAATGTCAGATCAGCCATGATCCAATTGAATGGCAGACCAGGCTCGAAGGGCTGAACAGCCTACTCCTGATCCTATTTCTTATGGTCTTATGGCTGCTAAGGAATCTCCCCTGCCCTCACAGCTTGACCATTGGAAGGATTTACAAAATGAATACTCAACCTGTTTGGCTGCATTACAAACAAACCTCCCTTTGACATCAACGCCATGGGTAGGAATTGAACCAGAGGAATTGACTCAGAGATAGGGCCACTACCCACAGCAGCACAAGACTTCCAAAGCAAATTGTACCAAAGCCAAATGCTGCAGATGCTGGAAATTTTGAACTAAAAGCAGAAAATGTTTGAATTTTTCAACATATTTGGAGCCATCTCTTGGAGGATATAAGAGGTCAATGACCCTACATCAAAGCAATTTTCTCTGCTCTCTCCACATGCCACCTGAGCATTTACAGCATCTTCTACCTTTATTTAACAACAACTTATATTTTTGTAACACTTTTTACATAACAAAATGCCCCAAGGCACTTCACAGGTGTGTGATAAAACAAAATATGACAGCGAGCTCAGACATTCACCAAGGCTTTTTCACAGCACCTTTCAAACCCACAACCACTTGCATCAACAAGGATGAGGGCAGCAGATCCATGGGAACCACCTGTAAGTTCCTCTCCAAGCCACTCACCATCCTGACTTGGAAATATATCATCATTCGTTCAGTGTCAATGGGTCAAAATCCTGGAACGTCTCCCTAATAGCACTGTGGCTGCACCCACACCAATGGCCTGCAGCGGTACAAAAAAGGCAGCTCACCACCATCTTCTCCATGGCAACACAAATATGGTGTTCCAGCCTGAAACAGGTCCACAGAGGCCAATATCCCATCACTAAGTCACCCTTTAGCTACATGTGGAAAGTCCTTGACACTGATCCAGCTCCCTCAATGCCAGGATGTCTGACGAGCCTGTTCTTATCTGTCAGCCAGGGCTCCCTGATTGGACCAGGTTAACAGCCCCAATCAGGGAACTCATATTCTATGAGATCCACCCAGCTGACCTTGTTACAATCACCACACAGCCAGTGAAGCTGACATCTCCTAAATGAGTAATAATTTTGAAAAAAGCTTGTCCTTGAACAGAGAGGTTAAAGTTTGGTCAAAGGCGTAGATTAAAAGGAACATCTTAAGGGAGAGAAAAGAAGTGGTGATCAGGGAATGTTTAGGGAGAACATTTGAGAGTTGAGGGCAAATGAAGCTGAAGACACAGCTACCAATAATGAAGCAAGACGTTTGACTGGATAAAGAGGGGAATGCAGTAAGTTGAAAAACCACTGGCACCATATAACACATAAAATTGAATCACCAGAAATCAATGAGAAAATTAAATTACACCACAATGACTATAAAGTTCTATAATATCACTACAAGACCTCTTCAACTTTCTTTACCCATAATTTTTTTTTATTTTATCTTTCTTCAGAAGGCAGCTAGTGACTTACAAATGGGCAAGTTTTTTTAAATCACTCAAGCTGGATCGTGTAAGTCACTTAGGAGAATTCCAACAATAGTTGCAATTGGGAGCTTTGTTTGATCTTTCTTTCCCGGATGTTGAGTCCCACTGGAGTTCTGATGTTGGATGAGGACTGGAAGTGCTTACCAATGAATGTTTAATGGAGGGCTGGTGCATGAGTATTAGGCACCCCAAGTGAACCTTCAGCTTTGCTTCCCATTCTCCCCTGTTACAGTTAACTATAGAAAATGAGCACAGTAAAATGACACTAACAATCATTCCCATCTGTCCCATTCTCACATAACTGCTAGAAATGGTCAAACCCATAGGTTACTGTTGTGCCTGGCCTGCTCTCACTCTGGGGTCAGCATCTGTCTGTCTTGCACTATGTTCCCTCAGTGCTACTGACTAGATTTACACATTCAACACTCACATCACCACTAAGTCACACAGCAGCTTTCTGATTTGTTGAGAATGTGAAACTCTAAGGTAACTGCCATTTTTGATTAACAGACAGCACCCCTCCCTGGATAAAGAGGTAGCAGGAAGCAGGAATGGTGAGAGACCACAATTGATGGACCAGTGAGCACTTATAGGAAGTGGGGGGGTGGGGAAGCGGGAACAAGGGAAAGGAAAGCTATGACTGGATGGTCAGTAAGTAGGGGAAGGAAACATGAAGCTATAATTGGAAGGTTAGCAAGCACAGGAGAATGGGAGGTTTTTGATTGCTGGATAAGTGAGCAGCAAGGGAAAGGAGGTTATGATTGGTGGATCAGTCAGCTGAGAGGGAAGGGGAGATTGTATTGGCTTTTTAATTATGTCTGTCTTACTGCAAAATTACTGACACTAATTGCATGGTTAACAGAGTTAATTGAAGGCAATATGTCAGCTGCTTTGAATAGGGACAGATTCAACTTTGAATTCTAATCATAGCCAAGTGAATTGGTACACAACAAATAAACACGTAAAACTTACTCCAGCAGATGGGAGAGAAAGTCAGGGGAGAGATTGTACCTGGGCAGTCAGTAATGAGGTAGTGATCTGTACTACCATTCAACAAAGCTGTTTGGTTGGAAGTTTACTTAGATGGAGGAATAGCTTTAAAAACAAATCTTCCATAGATGTGGGCAAGGCCAGCATTTTATTGCTGCTGAACTGAGTGGTTCTCAGACATTTCAGAAGACACTCAATTAGAGTCAACACTGATGTCAGATCTGGGAAAGATGGTAGATTTCCATCTTCTTAACAGACATTAGAAAACAAATGTGTTTTTAACCATTGTTGATTATAGTAACAGTGATGAAATGAAGAACTCATTGAATTTAAGTTTTGGGATTTTAGTCTATTCTCCAGAGCATTGTCCTGGGTCTCTAGATTACTAGCTCTAATGACATAGTAGTGTATCACTATCATTCCCCTTGTGTCTAAGATGTAATGATAGGTGATTTACAGGAAATATTTTGAGGGTAGGAAACAAAACTTGGTGGTAGGGGTCACTTGACTGGGGAGATGCTGTGTTTGGAGGGGTGAACTCATTCTACTGTCAGATTGTTGCCAGAGCTCACTGATAATGGAGGAGGGAGTGGGTACTGAATATTGTCAGAGTCACTGAGATGTACGTCTTTATTGTGGGGGGGGAAAGAGACAAGAGAGTTGATGAAAGAAAGTGTGCCGGCTGTGTCAAGAATCAAACACCAAAAGCCTAAAATACTGGGGAATTTTCTGTTTTTGTTTAATGTTCTTGGACAGGTTCCTTCAGGAATAGTCTAACAATTTCATCATATGATTATATGTTTAGAATGAGAAGTAATTTTTATTTATACCCTACATTTCACAACATCACAAAGCACCTCACGGCCAACTAAATACTTTTGCAATGTAGTCACTGTTAGGGAAAGACAGCAGAAAGCAGACATATTTAAACCTCTACGAACAGCAATAAGTGATCAGATCAACAATGATCTACTGGAAATGGTGAAAAGACTCCAGAATTTGAATTGCCTGCTCCTTCATCTGCGCACATGATACTTTTTTTGCTTTCAGGAGTAAATAATGACCAAGATACCAGAAGAACTCACTGACTCTCTTCAAATGGTGTAACATAATGTTTTATGTTGCTGTTCCTGGAAATATATCACTGTTCCCTCACTGCATCACTATGTTAAGATTTTGAAAATTCCAACCGAGCAGCACTGCATG